AACCCAGAGCAACAGAGAACCCGTCTCCTCCTTAATCTAGACTCTACTAAAAAATATACTAATCGATGTGTACTGCAATATGTAAACATTAAACACCTAAGTGAGACTTCAATTTCTGCTTAAATGATCTAAACCCATCGGTTTCAACAATGTCTTTAGGTAGATCGTTCCGTGAAACTTCGGTAATACTAAATAGCACAATTTTATGCAAATTCCATTGTTTTCTAATTGTTTGCACTGCGATCTAGAGTGCAAACCATTAATCCGTGAAACACTAGTCTAATTACTAAATAGTACAAAATAGTGCTAATTAAACAATAGAAAACAATGGGATTTGCGTGAAATTGTGCTATATTTAGTATTACCGAAACTTCACGGTTGTATCGTTTGCACTCTACTAGTTAGTTTAGCTATATTTTCATGAGGCAGTCTTTTTTTGCACTATTTTTTAAGCGTTTTTATAGTGACGTCGGTTTTTATAGATATGACTTTTCTTAGAATTGCAGTTTCTTCGACTTTTTTTAACTATAAAGCGAAGTTTTCTAGAAGCTGAATTTGAACAGATAAGCTAGCTTAGCTATATTTTCATAAGGCAGTTGACAAAGGTAGCATCAATGAGTTATGGCTTCTCATCAAAACATATCTTGCAGACAAAATCTACGACGGCGACGTCAACCGGAACTGTGAATAATTTCTCTTAAGGGTTCTGTTCATTGAAGATTTCATTTAAAACATTGTCAGTAAAGTCATCTCATCCACAGGAAAGACAGACAGACGCCCGGACCCTAAAGTGAAGTTATTTACACTTCCGGTAGACGTCGCCGTCGTAGATTTTGCAAATCTTTAAATTCCCTAATTACTTCGCAACCGGAAACCGAAACGAATGACGGCTGCGAAGAAGAATATTCATAAAGGTATAAATGTTGAAGAGATAATTTTTCATTGTTAAAACTTTTTCGCTCAAATTGAAGTGCTGAAATAGTTTTTTTGCCATTACTAGTGGGCTCAACAAGAAATTTAGATCAGCCCATAGATGAGATTCTAATACCTAATTCAGAATTAAAGTGGCTGTCCAGTGGCGGATCTAGGGGGGTTCGAAGGGATCCACGGAACCCCCCTTGAAGGTTTGATCTTTTAGGTAATAGAAATATGTCTTATATAAATTTTAATGAATAAATATTAGTAGTTTTGCGTTGCGTCGTGTTATTATAGTCCGTTACTAGATAGTAAATTAGGTGATAAGAGCCAATTTTTTTTGTCAAACATCGACTAAACAAAAGAGAATTATACACAGTTTAAGAAACGGAACCCCCCTTTGAAAAATCCTGGATCCGCCACTGCTGCCTACTATAGAAAAATTAAGCTATTGCGCACGCTCCTATGCAACAACGATAATAACGCCATTAATTTGAACAGTGCAAATCCGCAAATAACTTTCATAAATTCTATTGAGGAATCACTTGTTTTAATTTTCAATCAGGCAAAACTCTCAAATTTTGCAGGCGACTCTATATATTTTTCGAATTTCCGAAAGGGTACACAAAAAAGAAACTTCTATCAACAAAGTGTGAAAAAAAAGTGACATGGGAAATCGGTATTAAAGCGTACATTTTTTTCCACTCGTTTTGGACAAAAATTGCCAAGAACGAAAGTCATTAGCATTCTCGTTTCCAGATCCCACTCGGTTGTCGTTCCTCCCCGTCAGAGACTCTGGGAAACCCTACAACCGTAAGTTTTATTAGGGATCAGTTACCTCACCCCTCTACTTCCGATCATACACAAACGTACGTAAACTTTATTAACGTGTCAAACTTCTAGCCAAGGGCGCTAGGACAGAAGGATTGGTTTTTACATTAGGTGTATAATACAACATAGTATTAGCGTGGTATACTTGCAGTCCAGGTGTATAATAT